TGGACGACCGATAATGACTCTGGAGAAACGCGTTCGACGCTGAGAGATCTTCGTCTCGCGCCGTGACACGGAGAACGAGACAGCCGCGCGGAAGCCCGATCGATTGGTTCGTAAGTCGTTGTATGACGATTTCGGGGAATCGTCCAACCGGAGCGTAGGATCCGTTTCACCGGTGATCCTTGGCGACCAAGGATCGCGCAGGGTTCCCTCGCGCCGTTCGGACGGTTCCCCGAAATCGTCATACATTACGCGATGTCGGCATACGAACCACCCTGTATTTTATTCACTTCTGTCAATCACTTCCACCTTTCATGATTACTAGCGCTCTTTGCATATTAGTAAAACATAGATAATATTACTTTTTATAAAACATAAATAATATTACTTCTTGTAAAACGTAGATAATATATTACATACATGCGATAATATCACATAGAAAATATTACATGTTATTTGTATAATCATAAATCCATTCTTACGTGTTGTCTATGACTTCGTCCCAGTCTTTCTTCATCTGTAGTGTGATATGTAGCATCTGCCACACTTTTACGGGCTGATTCGAGAGATGCTAGTAAATGAAAAAAATTACTATTTATATTCCTCGTACAATATATTATGATGAAAACAAAATTATTTTTGTAGGTTCCAGCATATAGGTTCTAACAATGACGTAATAGGATAAAATACATACTGCAGTATTTTATGATGTCAATATCATATTGAGTCCAAGTTTCATAATTAGGATTTGCACAACTGGCAATGAATAATGCACTTTTTGCCGTGCAAAGCGGCCACCAACATTGCTGATTATCATTTTCTTCCATAAGCCATGCTGTTGGAATTTCAGAATACGTGTCATCTAATAAAAATTTTACAACTGCATATTTTTTATTAGTTGCCATTTCGGTAATCCAAATGGTCTAAAATAAAAATAATTTTATAATTTGCATAGTTTACCTTACAAATAACAGTTATTGTCAACCATTTTTGACAGCAAAAGATGAAATCTTTAACATATAGGTTGCGTTTCGAAATTCAAGTACTGAAATTCTATAATATGCGTAACGTGAAATATAGATTTTCAGTACTGGCAGTAATTTTTGGAACGCAGCCTTAGTATATAAAGACATATTCGTGTACGAAACATATTGGTAGGTTATATATTTATATTTGCCAACAGTATAATATTAGGAATACAAATAAGTTTCCGCCGTTTGACAAAAGATGGCCTCACCAGAAGGTTATGTTGAAATTGTCAGATGTAAAACGTAATATCGTAAGTTTGGACATCTGATAACAACATAACCTTGAAGTATTAGTGACTCCGTATCAGCATCACATAATTTTTTGTGTAAAAATATCAAGTTTTGTGCCGAATAAACGTCATTTGCGGGAACTTTTGATTTACTTCTTTAATTTGAAGAAATCTGCAGCTGAGACACATCGATTGCTTGTAGAAGCATATGGTGAGACTGCTTTAAGTGAGAGAAGTTGTCGTGAGTGGTTTCAAAATTTTAAAAACGGTAGGTTTGACGTAGAAGACAAAGAACGTAGTGGAAAGCCGAAAGTGTATGAAGACACGGAATTGGAAACATTATTGGAGGAAGATTCGTGCCAAACGCAAGATGAACTTGCACTTACATTAGAAGTGACTCAACAAGCAATTTCACATCATTTAAAATCGTTGGGAATGATTCAAAAACAAGGAAATTGGGTTCCATATGAACTGAAGCCGAGAGACGTTGAACGCCGATCTTGCACGTGTGAAATGCTGCTTGCCAGGCATAAAAGAAAGGGTTTTTTGCATCGCATAGTCACTGGTGATGAAAAATGGATCCACTACGATAACCCAAAGAGGAGAAAATCATGGGGATCACCTGGCCATGCTTCAACATCGACAGCCAAACAGAATATTCATGGAAAAAAACTCATGCTGTGTATTGGTGGTATCAGCTGGTGTCGTGTATTATGAGTTGCTCAAACCGAGCGAAACCATTACTGGAGCTCTCTACCGAACACAATTAATGAGATTGAGCCGAGCACTCAAGGAAAAACGCGCCCATTACTATTCCAGACGCGACAAAATTATTCTCCTACATGACAACGCTCGGCCACATGTTGCAAAACCGGTCAAAACCTATTTGGAAACACTTCATTGGGAAGTCCTACCCACCCGCCGTATTCACCAGACACCCATTCCGATTATTACTTATTCCGGTCGATGAACATGGCCTGTCTAAGCAGCGCTTTACATCATATGAAGATACTACAAATTGGGTCGATATGTGGATAGCCTCAAAAGATGAAGAATTCTTCCGACGTGGTCCGAATGCTGCCAGAAAGATGGGAAGAAGTAGTGGCTAGTGATGGACAATACTTTGAATAAAACGTAATGTACCGTTCTTCCACAATAAATTCCTAATTTTTGATAGAAAACGGCGGAAACTTATTTGTACTCCTAATATTATCACGGCATTCAATTATAATATATAACATTGCGTACATTACATAGCATTTATTACATCAATTAATACATTTTCATACAATAACAATAATGCAACGACGCAAAAATTTACAGATAGGCCATCTGGTGAAATACCGATGGTAATAGAAGGCACATATATACAGAGTGTCCCATTTTAAGTGTCCGCCACAAATATCTCTCTTATTATTTATTTTGGAGAAAAATGGTTTCAGACACGTTTTGTATAGTTTCGAAGGGGCCATAAGATATGTACCATTGATTTGACCTTGAAGAGTCATTTGAAGGTCACGTGAAGGTTGCATCAATTTTTTTAGACAGCACCCCCTACTTTTTTATTATATATTCTTATAGCTGAACTCGACAGTTTCCCAAAACACTATAATCAAATGTTTTTTCGTGAAGTACTTTTCGAGTTATAAAGCTCCAAATTTACAAAATTTTGATAAAAATACAAAATATTTCGTAAAACATTCACTTTCCGATAGTCTTATCTTGCATGATCCAGCCAGTCAAAGCAAGATCCGAGCATGATCCAACCAGTCAAGGCAAGATCTGAGTATGATCAGCCAGTCAAGACGAGATCCTGTATTGCCTGATAATCAATTAACTGTAACAATTGTGAAAGTGCAATTGTCAATTCTTTTAATGAAACAAATATCAAGAGGCTTGTTTCAGATTTCTTACTTCGGCAACTGTCGGTATTTTGGCGAAGTCTCAGACAGACACATATTATTATCCATTGACTTTTTTCTGATAAGACAGGAATTTTTGGTTTTTTGACGCTTTCTTTATTTATAATTATGGTCGCTTATCCACCAAATGAAATTGTGGACATGATTCGCATTTTGGGTGAGGTCAGGAATAATTACTCGGCAGCAGAAAGGTTTTATGCTGAAAGATTTCCAGACAGACGTCATCCTGATAGGAAAGTAATAAAAAAGACTCTACGATAGAGCTGAACAGGATATTCTTAGAAGAAACCGGCGAAAATCGAGCCCTGATGAAGTCACATCATTGATTGTTATAGGTGCCGTTGCTTTGAATCCTCAAATCTCTACGAGACAAATTAAGAGGCAATACGCTGTATCTAAATCAACAGTCAATCGTGTGTTCAAGCTCAACAAGTTTCACCCATATCACATTCATCTAACTCAGCAATTGGAAGAAAGGGACTACCAACGCCATGTACGTTTTTGTAACTGAGCTCGAGATCAAATTCAACAAAATCTACGGTTCATTGCTGATACGCTTTTTTCTTATGAAACCACGTTTTGTAATAGAGGTGGTGTTAATAGACATAACTGCCATTATTATTCAGATGCTAATCCACATTGGCAGAGAAGCCAAGAGTTCCAACGGCAGTGGTCCATTAACGTTTGGGCAAGCATCCTAGGAGATGTTATTGTTGGTCCATATTTTTTTGATGAAAATCTCAATACGGCAATCTATCTAAGATTTCTTCAAGATGACCTGCCCAACCTCTTGAGACATGTCGACAATTATTTACTCAGACGAATGTGGTTCCAACAAGATGGAGCACCGGCTCATAGATCTCGAGCTGTTACACAATATTTAAATAACAGATTCCCGAATAGGTAGATTGGTATGGGCAGTCGAGTTCAAGAATGGCCTCCAAGATCACCCGACTTGACACCCCTAAATTTTTATTTCTGGCGCTACGTTAGAGATTTGTTTATTCGCAAAAGCCTACAACCGTTGAAAATATGAAAAGCCGGATCAGACAGGCTTGCAGAAATATTAATGTAGGTGTTCTTGAAAAAGTTAGAGACGACTTACACCATAGGCTAGAGCTATGTATACAAGTAAATGGCCAAGTTTTTGAACACTTTAAGTAATTGTACACAAAAGAAGATCTTGCCTTGACTGGTTGGATCATGCTCGGATCTTGCCTTGACTAGCTGGATCATGCTTGGATCTTGCCTTGATTGGTTGGATCATGTAAGATAAGATTATCGGGAAGTGAATGTTTTACGAAATATTTTGTATTTTTATCAAAATTTTGTAAATTTGGAGCTTCGTAACTCGTAAAGTACTTCACCGAAAAACATTTGATTATAGTGTTTTGGGAAGCTCTCGAGATCAGCTACAAGAATATATAATAAGAAATAGGGAGTGCCGTCTAAAAAAATTGAGGTAACCTTCACGTGACCTTCAAATGACTCTTCAAGGTCAAATAAATGGTACCATCTTATGGTACCCTCGAAACCATATAAAACGTGTCTGAACTATTTTTCTCTAAAATAAAAAATAAGAGATATTTGGGGTAGATGCTTAAAATGGGACACTCTGTACGGTTAACCTTTCAAAATTAATTGCAATATTACAAATACAATTGTAATCTTTTAGAGTATACTCCATTAGTTGCAAACATAGAAGAGGACTTTAAACGTAAATATTGTTTATACAATTTTTGCACTTCATTTATGAAGCATTCTGTTACATTTTTTAAATATTTTATTATATTGTTAGTTGTATTGCAGAGAACGTAAAACAGATGTTGCGTATGCAAGCTGCTGCAAATATAATGTTAAAGGATATTAAGCAACGTGTGACAAAACTCGAAGATGTTTTGAAAAATCGCACATTACATATGTCAGAAAATAGCGGCCTAATTGCACAATTTTTACCGTTTGTTACAATAAAGGAAATAAAAGAGTTTGAATCTGTATTAAAAACCACAGATGAGGCAGTGACGCAGTTTGTAAGTTAATGAATTTATTCATTATCCCTCCTTCGTTGTGCTTAATACAATTTTGAGAAAAAAAGCTTATTTTACTTTTCAATACTTCTAATTATTATATTGCGTATATTAATACTATTGTTCAATACATACAAAATGTATTATCTTTTTACAGACAGAATTTGTGTCTAAAACTGGTGGGAACAATTCAAAACATACTATTCAGCGAACAATGAAGAAAATTTTCACAAATGAATGCGCCATAAAATGCTCCTGGAAGGGAATTAGGAGCAACTTTAGAGTTTGCGATTTGTATTTCATACAAATTATGAGAAGTGTATAATCGGCATTGTAAAGTTTCATTAGAATTCCTTATTAACATGCTATTATTAATTCTATATTTGCTTTTATGTTCTAGACGCAGTAATTTTGCAACATGTGAATGTTACTGAATCCGACTTCGACAATACTGTAGCGGAATAGTTACGTTTCGCAAGACAGAGAAAACAACGTGAAAATAAAGAAAAAGAAAATGAATGCTAAAATGAAAATGAAGAACAATGAAGAATGTTAGTCATGCCATGTCATTTCGTCAATACGTTTCGACATTAGAATTTACTCACTAGTCCGTGTAATGTAAAATACTTAGAAAGTATTCTATATTCATTCTTATTGTTTGAAAATTAAAGTTTAAAGAGTATTTTTCATTCTTATTTTTTTATTTTGACAAATATTATGTCTCTAATATAAAGTCTCACGTACGTAATATTATTTCATGTTTTTATTTATTAATAAGAGGAGAAGAACTTTATTTCTTATTTATTATGTGATAATATAATTATTCTTATTGTTTAAAAATTACAGTTTAAAGAGTATTCTACATTCTTATTATTTAAACGAATATTATATCTCTAATATAAAGACTCATGTGTACGTTATATTGTTGCATGTATTTTTATTTATTAATAAAAAAAGGGATTTTATTTCTTATTCTGTATTTGATAATATGATGGCTGTAATATAATGTATGTGAAATATGAAATATATATGATACATTTGTAACATGTGCAATATATTTTGTATTGTTTATTTATATTTTTCATTTGTTTTTTAATAATGTGACTTACAGAAATAACAGGTCGCCGAATTAATTCCAAGCAAAACTAAACAAAATTCGGTTACATATAATGAAATTTTGCTTAGTTTTGCTGTAACTCGAATTAACTCGGCGACCTGTTATTTTTTAAAGTCGCAAGAATTTCCGAATATAATATAATACATATAATTATTTCATTACTTAATAACATTACTTGTATGTAACAGTTTGCCAATATACATTTCAGTTTTATAACCTTTCAATTAGTTACATTACTACTTTATTATATGTCTATAACTTATTTTTGGTTATATAACATTTTAGTTACATTTTATATTTGTTATATAACTGCAATTCGTATGAATGGGAAATTACAACTAACGTGTATATTACTTGTAACATACACGTTATATTATGTGTTACATTCCGTAATATTATAGCAATATAATTGTTATACATCCTGTTTGCTGGGATAATATTATACAACAAAACTCTATATTATTTCACTATGTGTGATTGCTACAAGGATATATGTATTATTTTCTAAATAAAGAGCATTATCATTCTCATCGCTCTCGCTATCCTCAGTTATGTGGCTCCAAAAGGGCATTCTGAAACACTTACTTTTAACGTCGTCCACATTAATGTTCAGAAAATTACTGCATAAGTTGCTACACTTAAAAAATTCAACACATGAGGATGGTATGCCAATATCATAAAAACTTTCCATTGTTAAAAATTTTTTAACTTGAAAACAATAAGAAGAATTACGTTCAAAAATTTTTAAAACAATACAAATAGATCCATTATCTAACATGCAGCAATTGTTACGTACATCTATACTCAAAAATATTTTATTAAATTGTATCTTACGATACTCAGGAAAAGCTGCACCATTGTTAAGCGGCATGGACACGCGAATAGATGAATTTACTTCCTCGTTAGAATTTGTCCCGCGAATTTGAATTTCCTTCATCCGATTAAAAAATTGTTGAAGCGATAAGCCTGGTTTTCTACAATATTTCCTAAAAATGGACATGTTGCTTTCATATAGAAAAGCAAAATAGGAATCTAAACTTCCTAACCGTCGGACATCATTAGTAAGATGAAGAAGACCATGCACGTTATAAGAATTAAAAGTTGGGCCATACAAATTGTTAGAATGAACAACAAATTTTTGCAGTGCAAGTTCTGCGAAATTGAGAAGCTGTTTGGATGGGGACTTTGAAACTAGAATTCTTATAGCACTGTGCAATAATAAGAAATGCTTGTAAAATTGTTTACCTAACAAGTCATACATTATAACTGGACCTGTATAAAGCAGAACTTGTCTAAATTCTGTTGCCTTGAATTTAGAATAAACATCGATAGACCTGCGACGTCTAACAAAGTCTGAAGGACAATATTGTCGAAGAATATCGAACCTATGACATATGATACTAACGGATGTGCCAGAAAGTTTTGATGTGCGTGAAAATCTTCCGGAAATCCATGCCGACAATATTTTCACGATGCCTAAACACACTAAATGTATATACTCAAAAGGTACTTGCGAAACCATTCCTATGGGATGCAAAGATAATGGGCTTTCACTCTCTTTATGATGATCCTCATCTAAAACTCTAAGATATTCTTCATCTGTTCTTAAAGAATGATTAATACCATTGAAGACATTACGAACTTTACATAGTGTTCCAGAAACTTTGCATTTTGAACATGATTTACTAGACATGTGACCACGATGATTTAGAATGAAAGCTCGAGCCGGGGCATCAGCTATAAAACTTCTTAGTGGTATTGGAATTATTCTGCCTTTAAACTTTATGCCTCGATTGCACATAATGGTTTTGAAATCTTTAATAAATTCTATGAAGAAACTGCTTGCATTTGAGGGTTTTTGTAAACCTTTATATATGCCGATAATTATTGGTTTGGCCTGCTGTATATTAAACACTCTACATTGAATAGGCTACAGATGAACAGTACCCGCATTATCTAATGCACATCCATCTGTATGAAAATCTAATTGAATTTCCGAAAGACTTGCTGCTAATGGAGTTTTTGAAAAGTATTCAATTAAACTTGCTTCTTAACCAAAGTGAATGTATTCCCCTGCCTCTACTTTTGAAACAATAGCATTATTACGTGATGTACTAACAAGTGTTCTAACATCTTTAGGTATGTTCGAAAAGCAAGGGTGTGTTCTAAGAACAGATAATAGATTATTACTTTGTACATGAGTTAGATTATCTACAAAACAGGATGCTAAACGTTCGCGAAAGGATGGATGGCAGAAACCATCAGAAAATATTTCATTTACTTCAGAAGCACATGAAGACGAAGCAGAAAAAGATTCATCATTAGCCACATACCTGCCATGCATAATATCGCAATTATAACTTGCAAAATTATTAGAAGAACTACAACATCTCGGAGTACCTACATCAGGTGTATTTTGCAAGTTACCATTATTAGATGAACTACACCCCGGAACTACACCCTAGGTCAATTGTGGACCCCCGTGGACGCCACCTTGCCATGATGGGGGAGCTTGCGTGTCCCGACGATGTACAGAGCTGTGCCGACGGGGGTCTCGGCCCTTAGCAGGTTCTACCATGCCGGAGTGGTCTGTACGGAGGGGCCAGACTATGAGCGTCCATAATACTCCTGGATGGGCAGCTGCCTCCAGGTTTTAACCAGGAACTGGAGGGTCACACTCGTGCGGCCCAAAGGTTCTTACAGTGCGGGCAGAGCGGGCTCGTTAGCCTAGTGAAGGCAACCGGTCTAAGGGAAGGAAAATCCCGAAGCTGAACCCGTGCGTGTGGGCCAGGCGGGCGCGCCGCTGGAACATGCTACCGCCCGGAGGGAGGCACTGAAGGACAGGCTGCGGCCGAGCACGAGTCGAGTAGATTTGTTCTCGGCCCCAGCCTTACCTCCAGTGGCTAAAAAGAGGAAACGGAAGGCGGAGACGTCCGCCTCCCAGTTATGGGGGATAGGGAGGTGCACTTCCCTCCTCTCGCTTTACGAGGGTGGGGCCGACCAGGTGTCCGCCTCGCAGCTGTGGGAGCGGCAATTCCCCGGGGAGGAGTTTCCGCCGGTCGAGGACGAGAAGTCGTCGGTCGGGGAAGGGGTTGCCGGAAGCGCAGGGGCGCGCCAGCATCAGTAGGGGATTCCACCGGTGCGGAGACTCTCACGTCTCGGTGAGAAGCTGGCCGCGGACGCGATCGATAGGGTTAGATACCTCAGAGAACTGAGGGTCGAACCGGGAAAAGAGACGATGAGGGACTACGTAGGGAAGCGTGGAGAAGCTTGTTCCTTCTCCGGCGTCCGCAGCTGCGGGCAGCGGGACCGCTCCCCTTCGCCCCTCTCCGCGGCAGCCGGCGGCCGCTGGGGAGGGTCGCGACGGGTGGACAATCGTGTCGACCCGTAGGCAAGGGGAAAGGGGCTAGGCAAAGCCCAAGCCGCCGGACCCCAAAAAGGGAGGTGGCGCGGCAAAGAAAGCCGCACCATCCCCCAAGGGTGAGAAGGCCAGGGAGGGAGGGGCCCCGAAGAAGGGACCCCACCACCCAAAAGGCTACAGATTAGGAATCCCCCGCGTAACCCTGTCGCAACAGTGACAGCGTTACCGGGGGGTTCCAATAGCGAAGTGATGGCGAAAGCCAGGTCGATCTGAAGGAGATCGGCCTGGAGCCTGGGCAGTTCAGAATAAAACGCACCAGAAAGGGGGGGTCATCCTGGAGGTCCCTGGGAAGGACGGCAAGGAGAAGGCCAACCGCCTGGCACGGGACCTCCAGGATGTGTTATGCGGCGAGGCGGTGTTCGCCAGGCCGGCGAGGCGGACGGAGCTCCGCCTCGTCGGCCTGGACGACTCTGTCACGCCGCTCATGGTTAGGGCTGCGATTAAGGCCACGGGATGCCCCCCAGATGATTTCCAGACTGGTGTGGTCAGGAAGTCGTCCGGGAGGCTGGGAGCGATCTGGGTTCGGTGCCAGAAATTGGTAGCAGCCGGGGGGCTGCCAATAGGATAGTCTATGGCCAGGATAAGGAATGGAGGAATGGCCCCTTCAATGTTACAGATGCCTGCGCTATGGACACACGGCAGTGTCCTGCCAAGCCAAGGACGTGCTGGGAGGTCACTGCTTTAGGTGTGGAGGTGCCGGTCATGTGGCGCAGGGTCCACCGCGGAGGTGCGGTGCCCCCTGTGCCACAAAGATGGTAGGGATGCTGGCCATCGCATGGGTGGCCGCAAGTGTAGAGCAGTCCCCCGGACTGCACAAAGAGGAGGAGTCCCTCCGCGCCGCATAAGGCGGAACAAGGGGAACAAGGCGGTGCGTAGGCAGACCGGGGCTGCGGTGGGGGATATTCCCCCCTGCGGCCTCGGCCGTCC